TTTATTGTGATGGTAGACATTGAGCTTCGTGTGGTACTAAATAGAAAAAATAACAGGCAAAACGATAGAAAAAGCAAATTTTGTGTGATGAGAGTAAGCGGAAATGGTTGGAAAAATACTCATTTATCATAATTAAACGATGTGGACTGCCATAAGAAATTTACATATCATTATCGCTTTTTATATAATTTATAAAATATTACAGCATATGCCTAGTTTACAATTTTTTTATTTTTCGCTCTTTTATATATTTTTAAATACGCTTAACTTTAACAATTCTAACGGAAGTTACTAACAGAAAAAATTATAATTGTACATAATAATTATCTTATACGAAATTAAGTGAATTTATTTAAATACCTAATTAAGAAATACAGTATATGACAGAATAATTTTCTCGCGTAATAAATGTACAAATCAAAGACATTAAATGAAATAACAAAGACAGATTTATCAAAGGTGGAGAGTGTGATAACCGCAATAATAGATAATTAATAGACATACTATTTGATTGAAATTGACAAAATTGTAATAAAATGTAAAAAAAAAATAGTAATTCCTCATTGATAAAAATAAAAAATTACTATCCAATTACATTTTTCTGTATTATATAATGCGTATATAAATTAAAAAAACTGAATTATAATGTCAATAAATATTAAAGTATGGTATCACTAACTGCCAAGTAGGAAAAAAAAGGGTTTTTGAATGTTATATTTTAGCAGATAATTTTAAAGAAATAAATTAAAAATTTTATTAATAAATTTTTTTGTTTTTGAAAATATAAGATAAAATTAATTTAATAACTTTAGAATACTTTAATACACACACACACACACAAACACAAAAACACAAACACAAACACAAACACAAACACAAACACACACATATATATAGTTTTATTTTTATGGATAAAATGACAATGACAATTGATTCTTTATTTTATTTCTTATTCCATCCCATTATTGAATTGCTAATGATTTACTTCCTAAATGCAAAAATAATATAACGTTTTGATAATCTTAGATTAATACCATCTGTATTAGTAGAAATGAGATAATGTGATAGAGAATAGTGGAAGATCGTATTATATTTTTAGTTATGATAGAGCAATATTACATAGACAAGAAATTATTATTGAAAATGAAAACGATATATATATATATATATATATATATAATGTTAATTACACAAAATTGAACGTAAATATGTGTTTGTAAATGGAGATCATTAAATTTGATAAAGTAATGGACATTCTATGTAAATGTATTGGCGAAAACAGAAGTAGGCAATAGATGCATGTAGCGACCTATCAAGTATATCCTTTGCACTGGTGTTTGAAACTGTTCACTTAATTTACCTTCGTCTTTGAAAGCATTTGCAAACAGAGAGAAACGCAGAAGGTCCATCGCAACTTGAATAAACATTATTCCATGAAGTTACAAGCTGTCGATCGATTTCTCATTTGAAGGGCACAACTGCTTGGCTATTCTTAGGTAATTTATGGTAGTGGAAGGGGTGTTCCAACGCTGAGCTTGAGGTAGTTGTTAGACCATAGACAGAGCGATAATGATAAAGGAGCAAAGATTTTTTTCTACTGCTAAGAGTAAGTTCTTACGGGGCTGCTCGATAACAAAGGTTGAATTTATTACTTGCAGAATCACGAGATTGGGCGAGATATTTCAGTTGAATTGGAAATGAATCATTTGTTATGCTTGTGTGATTGGAATTGTTTTTGGTTAAAATTGAAATTGACCCATCTAATATATTACTTTTATTTTTGTACGATGCTAATTCTGTATAATGAAAATGATAAATATCAATTTGCTGCTTAATATTAAAGAAGTCAGTCGAGTAAAATGAGAAAATAAATATCATTATTTTAAATAAATTCTAAAAATTATATTATTAAATTAAGAGCATAATAAGATTTCTTGTATTATTAATTAATATACTTTATTTCGAAGGCTCATCTTACGTGCGCAACATATCGCATTAGATTATAAATCGAAATAATGTTGCTATAAGCGAACATAATCATAAACATTCGTAGTCAGATATTTCCCGTATAATTTCTGTAAAAAATATTCCGTAAAATGCTCCTCTAGTTATCGATACTTTTGAACGTGCATCTTTAATTTATCGTAGCGGAATCACGAGATTAAAATTATAGTCTCTATATGAAATCTATGGTAGTATGTACTACCAGTCTTTCATCCGTGTAAGTAGTCGCTGTTTCACTCTCCATAAAACTTATGTTTTAAAACAGCATTAAGTTATAAAAGAACGGTGCTTTGTATAATTTGGCCGTTCGTTCTTCCTGCCTCGACCAAAAATAATCTTACCCGACGTTCAAAAAATATAAGAAGCAAGTTCTTTTGAGAATATTGTGATTATTACTTATCACATAGATGTGCTATTGTGTGTTTCCCAATCAGAATATTGCAATATATTATCTAATAATGAATGCGCAGTCTATCGTAACTGAAAATGATCATGAAAAATTACATTATGCTTACTATTAAGATTGCTCATACGATTTTTCACGAACTTCCTGATAAGATAAATTAATTTCATAGTTATTACAATAAATTGTAATAAGAAAATTGTAATAAGAGAAAATTTGTTATTAAAAATAAAATCCCTCACTATATATATATATATATATATATATATATATATATATATAAAGTAGAATTATGACTTGAAATGGAAAATATTAACTAAACTATTGTGAAATTGTTGAACAATAGTCGATTAATATTAGGAATGTAAATCACTACCGTTCACTTATTGTCTTTTTCTGTTTTACTATTGTTTTAATTGAAATTGCATAGAATATTATAATATTTATCATTAAAAAATTTATATTCAAATATCTGAAGAATACACGGTAATATTCGATATATGTGAATGTCGCTCCCAATTACTGCAAAATAATATTAAGAAACTAGTCTTGAAACTGATTGAGAAAAGTGTTTGTCGAAGATTTGCTCAAATATGTAGTTTCGAACATTTATGAAGATGAATCTCTTCTTGCGGACGGTATTTTTTTTTCTCTCTCATCTACAGCTCGAATCCATTGGCGTAAATCTTTCAATCCAATATTTCTACAGTAGACCAAAAGACAGAACTTTTTTACGATTTTCTACCTAACGGTTAAAGCCATCAATTACTTATCGCCTATTGTACTGTCGAATATTATAAACATTGAATTTTTATCGTCAATATTTGTTATTATGAATAATTTAATAATATTAATTGTAGATGAAGTAACGAAGAATAGTATTAGGAACAATTTTTCTCGAGACAAACACGTACTTCCAAGCTTACCGGATCAAGTTAAAACCAAACTAATTTGCAGGGAGTAAGGAGATAAAAAAATTTTTATTTCTAAACCGTAAAGCGTATTTATAGCTGAATACCATCTTGAGTTGGTTCAATTTAAATCTAAATTAATTGCATTCTACCATTTAAATATAAAGACATTCTAACTAAGTAAACAATTCAAAATAAAAAGAAATAAAAATTCATTGTTAAATTTCTTATATAAGTGATTGCATTTTTAGTTTACAAAATGTTCGAAAATTTCACTTTATATATTTAAACAATAAATATATATTTAAAGATCAAATATAATATTAAAACTCATATAATAAATTAAATTTTTCTGTTGATTAAAATTTATATGTATAGAACTTTGTTGAAATTTACTTTCTATTCATTGAGTGTTGTAATTTTAATTTTTTTGACAAAATACCGAGGAGAAGAAATATAAAACAAAATTGACGACTCATAGCATATTTATCAATCAAATATATTTGTACATTTATTGAGAATTAAGTAGATTAAAAAGTTTTCCGGTTATTAAAAGTAAATTATGTTTCACAATTCATGAAGCAAATTATGTTTTACAATTTATTTTAAAAGGTCAATTTAATGTTCGAATTCATATTATTGTCTATCGAAGAATTTTTAATGATTCAATAACGAAACATTTTAATAAATAAATTTAGTGAATAGTTCATTAAATGAGTAGAATTGTTTGCTAATGTAAACTATGACTTTATGATAAAATTATACCATCTCAATAATAGTAAAATCTTACACGGTTCTGTGCATATAAGTGAATTCTAATTACAGAAGCTTCCATTCAAAGTAATATTGATAAAGCTGTAATTAATAGATTATTTTGACACTTGATAGAATTATCGCTTTTATTTATTATCGAATTAATATCGAGTAATCTTTTAATTCTTAAAAATTCATATTGTAACAAAATCTCACTATTACCCTATAAATATAAGAATATAAAATTATTTAAGAAAAATGACGAAGGTACGAGATTACTATATTAAGGCAACTGTATATCCATATTCCACTACTGTACATGCGGAAAAAAAGAACTGAGAATATTAATTTTCGTGATCCAAATTGCAAATTTGTAAATAATAAAAATCTTATTTAAATTTTTATCCAATTCTTTTATTTGATTTTTCAATTTTTATTCCTCTAATTTTCTGATTTAATTCATTGCTAAATTATTTCCAATCTACTTTAGTATTCTATATATAAGATATTTATAAGATATACATAATTCAAATGTCATAATATTGTCTTATAATAAGGATTTATAATCTGCTTTCATTCTAAAATAATAAATTTAAAAAGAAATCGATAAAATTATAATTATTTCGAGTCAACTATCTGTTTGTTTTTATATTTAATTCATGGATAATAAGAGAAGTTGATTATTTATTCGACATTTTGGCTGTATTTGCTTTGATTTTCTATAAAATGAATAATAATTCTATTTGCGATAAGGTAAAGGTGATTATTTGAATAGACTTCAGGCGATAGATATTTCATAGACTTTCAAACTTAAATAGGTTAGAATTCTTTCGAGAATACAAAAATTGTGGCGTATAATTTGAATAAAAGGTCTTTCAAGATTTCAAGTAACAAAAATAATAAGTATAAATATGTCACAGAACGAGAAACAATATGGGATGCACTTTGGGAAGTTGGATATGGATCGAATCGGTATAAACCTAAATAAGATGTTCATAGCCTCAATCATGCTAAATAAATAATGGACAGAATGTCTTTTGATAGCATAAATATTGAAGACTTGTATGTTAATATTTAAAATATTGCTTTTATCCTAAATTATTCTTATTGTGCAATTGTATATACGACGTCCTAATGACTTATATAATGTCATTAAGAAACAAGGAATTCTTAATAAAATCTAATTATGAAAAACTCTAATATTCAAATATCAAAATATTTTAAAACAATATAAATTATGTTGCATAAGATTTTCATTAATGAAGAGTTTGTAGAAGAAGGCAGTGCTGCTAAGCCATCCTGGGAATAATTAACGTTTCGTATATAACAAATAATATAGCATATTAAGTAAATAAAATTTATATTTATTATTATATTTAGATGGAAATTACACGATTTATTCTACGTAATCAAAAAGTAAGCCAACAGAAATAAACTTTATATATATATATATATATATATATATATACATATCCTATCTCGTGCATATATTTCCTTATCTATCTTTCCTTTCGGCTAGTGTATCTTGTTGCTCTTCTTATTACGTGCCATATATATCTGCTGATATCGCAATTAAAATCCATGCAATACGATAACTGAGCGGAAATTTTCAAAATGCCAAATCATACTAATCATTAAATAGCAATATTAAATAACAAAATGTCAATAATTAACATAAATTAATTAGTAATTAACATCAAAATTAATGACAATATTGAAATTGAATACAATCTGAAGCATCAAAGTTCAAAGAGGCTGTGCAATGCTGATTTCTAATAATTAAAAATAATGCAAAGCCTATGATATTTATTTATGTATTTTATGACAATATGCATAATTTTGTAATTTTTGTTCAATTGCTTTAAACATAATAGACTTTCAATATACTTATTCGATAAGAATTATATAACAATTACATTATTTTGAATTTAAGGATAAGTTTTGGTTCTGTTCTTAATTAATTGAAACGTGGAGAAAGAGTTAAAGGAAGCCATATCGGATTATTTTTAGTTTGGCTCTTGACGTCTTCTAGACCTTCTATTAACCTCTTGATATTTAAAGGTTACTTTGATGACTCAATTACGGGACCATTCGACGTGTACGTTTCGGATTCCGCGAAAAATGGTTTGCGCGATGGTCTGGATAAAGGAACGCAGATCCGATGCAAGAAGTCTGGCGACTTTTTTGAAAAGGATATAAAGCGGATCTTCATCGGGGAAGTATTGCCTGAACTCTGTATCCCAAAGAAAAAAAAGAAGAGAAAGTTAATAAAGGTGATACTGATGTTTGAATATTTCCTATATCTCCTTCCCTTATTTATCTCCTTTCTATTCGACATCCAATATTTAAAAAGTTTTATTACTAATACTTTCTATGTTAATAAATATCATCGATAAAAGTATTAATTTTGTTTAATTAATGTTTTATAAAATTTCATTAGTATAAAGCTATTAATATAAAGTTATTGTTTAAAAGTATATCATTTGCATGGATCGCGATAGAATGGTGTAGTGGGAAGATAATTAAAAAAAATAGCGTTAAAATTTTATTTAAATCTTCATTTAGATGCTCATTAGACACGATTGAAAATAAAATTCAGTGTATGGGGCCTTGCAAGTTTCGAAAGACTCGCTCTAATAAAGCTTGATTGTTTTAGCAATTTTCCTTTAGCAATTAACATTATTACTGATAAATCATGGAGATTAATAGAAGGAATTTTTGCACGCGGAAGTTGGGAATAATTAAGCCCACGGGCACGCCAAAGCTACACTCCACCCCCGGTGATTGGTATGGTTGCATTGGTAAGCAGCCGAGCGCGTTTAGTCCTCAGACGAAGACACCGCCCGAACCGATTGGAAAACCCGAAAAGGCACCGGCAAATTTCATGACCAATCCGAATCCTGTCGGGGGTCCGGGATATCTTAATATTTGCCTCAATCCGTATATGCCCATCTACGATGATTACGAGCCTTACGATCCCGTTTACAAGAAAAAAAAGAAAACAGGTCTGGTTATTATTGGGATAAAGCGGCGTTTGTTGTTTAATCGGTAGTTCTATAGGTTTGTTAATACATTTTTTTTTTTATTCAAATAGATGCTATAAAATGTTTTCAGCGAATTAATTTTAAATTTAATTACTTCGCGCAGATGCATGGATAATTGTTTGCTGTCGGAGAAAGGAAATTTAAAGTATTCTAAAGTTATAATAGATTTACATGCAAACGCGCGCGCGTTACGCACACACATTTAAGGCCATGCTATTTACAAAATATATCGACTTGAAATGTACATTAATTCTCAAAGCTATTCCAAGCATTTTAATCAATGAATAACAAATAATTTATAATGATTTTTAATCTGACAGAATAATTTATTTTATACATAAGGCATTTTTAATTTTTATAAAATTAAAATTTCTAATAACACATTGAAGATTGAGAACGTAAGCCTCTCGTAGATTATAGATTGTCGATAATATAATTTTAATATTTAATATACATTTTACAATAAATGATTATTTTGTTTATGCTGTCACTTCAATAATATGAATATTGACAATCTTATGCGATTTATAAGTAAAAAGAGTGACTTGATAACAAAGTGCTTAGGTGTTTTGGACTTTTATCTTGAAATATTATTATAGGAAACAAATTAATTACACGAGATATCTAATATACACATTAATGCTTTAAATATATATATTTTTTTTTTACAATAAACTTTTTATTAACATTATACTATTTTATAAAAAAAAAAAAAAAAAAAAAAAAAAAGGGAAAGTGCACTTTTTCACTTTATTAAATATAAGAAAAATGTATAAAATTTAATATTACACTAATCCCTTTCCTAAAGAATGCAATTTAATATAGAAATACGTCGACTGCGGTAAATTTATAATACGAAAATTATTTGGGATTTTACAATTTCTCGTGAGACAAAGAGTTTTATAAAGCATCCGTCAGTTGTTCGTAGATTTTTTTTCTTTAAGAAAACCCCTTCAGGCATATAGAATAAAATCACAAATACGTTATTAGACAAAAACATCCGGCCACGTTTATTCGTAAGCACATGTTCGCCCATCGTGTACTTCTGGGACAATCCATACACGCCAGTGACAATGCCATCAGCAGACAATCCAATCAGGACGCGTAATCGTAAATCACGAAAATCAAAAATTCTAAAGAAGCTTCATTCAACCCTCTTTAAACTGACGTTCCCTGGAGCTCCCAAGGGTAAAAACTCTGGCTGCTTCCAAAAATTTCCTACGCATATGAGCGAGCCGTATGAGAAGATACAGCGACGTACGTGGAAGATTAAGCCCCAACCTCCGCTCATGTCCAGTACACCACAATTCAGATCCAAGTTTAGCATTAGCATTATTGACCATGTCACGAACGTGGCATTGAACGCTAATAATTTCACGGTGTATAAAGAGCAAGTTTATCCCTTATACTGAGGTAACTGGATCATAATACATGACGTGTGAGTGTGTGTCCAGATATGTTTCTTAATTAATTTGGAAATTAATTCATCATTAATTTGGAAATTATTTTTGTTTTCTTATTTTGCGCGCAGTTAGTCAAACGAGGATGAAGATGGAGTTGAAATAAAGCCAAGAACCTCGACTCGAAAGTAGTTCAGGAGGAGGAAATTTTAATTTTTTGAGATAAAAAATATATGTTAGATCTCGGTGACTGACAAATATAAATGAAGTGTCGAACGGCATAAAAAGTTGTTTTATTTATATTCAAAGTACAAGTATAGTTTATTTTACGACTTTCTGAACTTTCAACTCGTTTATAATTTCATGAGAAGTAACTTAAATTTCTAAAACATTTACTTTTTGTCTAGTAAGAAAAAACTAAAAATACCTAAAAGTCTTTGGGTTAACTAACTCAAATAAATAAAAATCCTTGTACCTATTATACATATATATTAAAATATATAATAAATAGCACCGTATAGCAGAAATGATATATATTCTTAATTCAAAGTATTAAGAAATTATATAATAGATTATATATATATATATATATATATATATATATACATTAATATTGAATTTCATATTACATCATAAATTTCATTCATATGGACATTTTAAATATATATACTTAGATTAAAAAGTATATATATATATATACATATATATATATATATAAATATATATTAATTAATATTAATTAGCCGATAGAAATACATAAAATTCATATTGAGAGAAATTCATGTTCATTACATTAACATTTTAATGTTTTCATTTTCTTTTTTCGTTTTTTCTTTTTTACACTTTGTTATGTCATCTAATCTTTTTTTTATCTACTAATCCTATTAATTTACATATTATATTATACACTTCGAGGATTTCATAATTATAATTTTATTTAAAAATCATATGGAAATATTTCCATTAATTAATTGGCGTTTTGAAGTACGTATTAATTTTCTAAATATTTCAATTTCCTGCTTATTTGTAGTGTAACGATTTTACAAAGCATATAAGGAGAATTATCATTGATTGTAATTTTGTAATAAGAGTTTTGAAATATTCGTGAATTATAATTTTAGAGTAAAGCAAAATAGACTTTAAACAAAAAATAGATGCAATAACAATTCGTTCTACAGTTCCTTTTAAATATTCCAACCAACTATTAGTGCAAATACTCGCAACGTATTATTATATTGAAAAAAATTATTAATTAAAAAAAATTGACAAACAATATGTGCTTTATAAACTTGATGATGAATTTCGTTAAAATTGAGAAATTATTAGAAAGAAGTTTAGAGTTTGTTAATGATGTAAGTGCTTCAATAACGCGAACATTGACGAGTTGAGAGTTCCCTGATAGTAGTATTGTGGGTTCTCTAATGAAATTCTAACGTAAATTCCATTTAGATTTTAGTAGTACAGATATATTTTGTGATAGAATTCTCTCGTTAATATCGAAGTATAAATTCATTAGGTACTTTATTACACAAAATACATATAATATTTCGTTACAATTTACTTGAAAATCAATAATAATCAATAATAATCATGACACTTCTGATAAAATTTCTGCATTATCTACTTTATGCTTAAGTCCACATTAAAAATATTTAGTAATATAATTCTGAAAATATTATTTATTTAATAATTGTTTTGGGATAAATTTTGTGAATATGAAATATATGAAATATATAATTATATGAAATGCTTCTAGAAATCAAAACACTGTTATTAGTTATTAGTTATAAATATATTAACCGATATATAATTATCAATCAAATTTGTATACTTTTTTTATCATATATATTACAGTTTTTACGACATAAATTTTAACGTAGGTCTACGACAAAGATAAATGATATTCTATACGCGCTCATTATAATGATAGATTTGTAAATGAGACGGAAGATACATATCTAAGAAAACGAAGATTTTTCACCGAACTCTCGTACGATAAATTTCATAAATTCTATTTCGGAGTCGTAGATGCGGATTTACCTTGCATAAAAAGGAGACGAAAACGCTTATACAAAAATGTATGAATATCACTTCTTATGCTTATGCACCATTTCAGAATTTATTTCCAAGCAGTGATAAAGTATTACTCCCTTTCATGTCATTGTGCCAGTATTAAACATTTCGAGTGTTTCGATCGCGCTTCGCCAACGTCCGATCCGTCTCGTCGTGCAGAGCTTTGAAGAATCCATAAACGGGAGATAGATAAGTAGAGAGACCGATAGAAGGATTGATAGATTTGGGTCGCAAATTATATATTTCCTGCAATTCTGCACGATACTATTAATAAGGAATGTAACGAATGTTTTAAATGGATAATGGTTTGATGTATTTATAATTTCTAAACTAACAACAATCAGTGTAATATAACATTATTGATTCAATAAACTTCTAAGCATATAGAACTAGTATAAATGAACAATTTATTCGATGAATAATGCAATTAAGCTTACAAAATTTTGTAATTCTGATTTTATGTTATATTTTATGATAAAAACGTATATTAAATTTTTGTCACATTGAATAAAAATTTGTTTTTCTCCAATAAATGAAATTACATAAAATTAATGTATCGTTGAAAAAATAATAAAAATGAAAGGCTATATATATACACATATAATATCGTTGTATACACAAATAATCAAATAAAAATTAACTGCCTTTAATACTTTGAACACTTGAAATGAATATATACTTTTTATTACCGAGTAATACCCTAAATGGTATAAATGATTGAAGATTACCATACGAAATCTTCGGACCTCTATTTAATCAATGAGATTTCACCTTAGATCAATTTGAATATGAATTCAAATGATATATCCTAAATGTGAGATTGGACTAAACCAGTGAGTAAGAACTTTTCAAACTAGGTTAATTAATGTCATCTAGTATATTCAAATTGATTTTCTTCAAAACGTAGAAGACGGTATTGCAAATGATACTTTGGGACAAAATGATTCCTACTTTAAATGCGAATGCATACGAGATTAATTCACTAAGCAAGAATTAAAACGTTAAAAAAAATTTTTTAAATTAAGTAAATAAATCCAGAATCACTTACATATAGTATAATATAAAATTTAAAAAAATTTTATTTTCGACATAATATTCCGATATTATAGAATGCGTTGTGTAAAGGGAAGTAATTTAATTCTATAATTGTCTTCAATTTATTTTAAATGATGCACCAAATTGTTATTTTAAAAGTTTTCTCATCGTCTTTGATCAATTCATTTATTCATTCAATCTGTATAACTTATATAACTTTTATAGCTTGTTACAACAAAAACGAAATAATTGAATACCGAGTTCGTACAATTTCGATAACAAAATTTGATTCATTCTTAGTTTTATTAATGCTTCAATTGCTCAAAAAATATCTGCATTATATAGATGGATTTGCTATTAAATAAATGGAGTCACATTTAAAAAATATAATGAAGATTCCTATCGGTACTCGTATCTATATAATTTAATCAATAGATTAGAAAAGGATTCTTTGAGTAATATAATAATAATTTTATTTATTAGTCTTAACTCACTTGTTAATTTAATTATTAATTACTTAATTCATTTCAATTTGTCTAATTGACATTCATATATTTTATTTACTTTATATGCTTAGCATTAATGATTTATAATTATTTCTATTTTCTTAATAAGAAATTTAACTTATTACTGGAAGTGTTGAAACTTGAACATTTATGTAGTTTATTTGCTTATATTTAATATTTACAAAAATTTATTTATATAATATTATGTGCAATTATTTGTAACAAATATGCAATGATCAGAATTTATTCGAGCCAATTAAAATTGTATTTATAGTTGTAACTTTTATGAAAAGTTGTAACATTGTGAAATAACCGCCAAATATAAGAAGTAACGAATTACGTAAAATTATGTAACAATAATAAACATGCAAAAAAGTAATAAAAATATGTAATGCATATATAAGTACATACAGATAGATAGATAAGTAGAATGAGAGAGGAAGAGAGGAGACCATAATATATCAAAGTATGTCAGTTGAAGACAGGGAACTACATTGTAAATAGTCCAACCTTTTCATTTATCCGTCAATTTCCTGATTGAATTAAAATAGATTAAGAAACCTTTGTTTGTTCAGAAAATCTTTTAAAATAAAAAGCTAACTAAAACAAACAAAGAAAGATCAGAATAGAACAATGTCTCTATCTTTTTCACTTTCGACTCGCGCAAAGAGGCATAAAAAGTGAAAAAGATAATCTTATAGAAAAGAACTACTGAAATAGATCTTAAAAATGAAATTGAAAAGATTGAAAGAGTTGTAATCAATAAGAATGAAAATATTTTTCCGTATAAAAAGTTGAAGCGAATTAAATGAATTATTCGCATATTCTTTATTGTAAAATGAACGTGAAGAATAAAAATCTTTCAATGTTATACCAAAACATTTTCTATTGAAAAATGTTAAAATATTGTTGCAATAAAAATGATGACTTCGTCTAAGTATTAAATTTTACTTTTCAATATAAAATAAAATTATGCTGGCAATTTCAAAAAAAATCTTGCATTATACTGATATCAGTATAAAAGAAATTATGTTTAACGCTGATTAGAATATCGTATCAGACATACTAAATAAATAAAATATAATTATATATATTTAGCCATATAAATAAATAAATATATATATATATATATATATATATATATATATATATATATATATATTGATAAACTACAAATCAATTATATGTTGAGTTTAATTGTTTCTATTCAGATTTAGTGTTTACATTCATTACATACAATTTTAACTGATTCAAAGAAAAAGTTAAAACATATAAGTATTCATTGTGTATTTATTTAAATATTGACTGATAAATTTATTATATTATTCTACCGAAATGATGATTATTGCATTACTTTATAATTCTCCGTATTTCAATTTTTTTTAATTTATAAAGAAAAATAAAGAATAAAAGAAATA